CCAGAGGCCCAGAGTCAAATTGCAACACTGACCGAGGCAATAAAAACCCAGATCCGTGCTTCATCTCGAAAGTCAGCGTTTTATTAGGGAGGGCCGGGGCCCAGGGAGGGAGGGTGTTGAGCTAAAGCAGCATTGCTCTCTTTCCAGGAAATGCTGCGAGCTGCAGCCAGAGCTCGAGACGTTGCATTTTTTTTTTCAACTCAAGCATGTGTTTTTCAAAAATATCATCCTTCCCCACCCCCACCCCCCGCCACTACTTTTAGAATCAGACCAATGCCAAGTTACTGTCCTCTGTGTCTTTTGGGAAAATACTATATTTATTCGAGATGCAGACGTGTGTCTCTGCAAACCTCCCATTGCTTCAGGAAAACAAATCTGCTTTAGACTCTACAGGAACCATGATACAAAATTTATTTCATGCTAGAATCGCTTTGCATAACATTGGGCATGCAGTTTTTACTCTGAAGTACTAAAGTGCATACAATGCCAGGTTGTGCCTCGGTAACAGAGGAGGGCCGCCCCTCCCGCGGTCCTGCTCTTCCGGTGCTCTAAAGAGACACGTGGGACATCTGTACGATGTTGGTTATTTACTATGAACGATTTGTTATGAAAGTTGGTCACGCTGGATCTACACACCGGAAGAGATGAGAGAATCGACCTAGACTAGCCGCTGTCAGGGGTCTCGGGCGACGTCCGCGGGGTCACAAGCATGCCAGACAGGGAAGAAGGCGGCAGTGCGAGTTTCCACACTTCTATTTGGAGCAAAGTTCTCAGTTTCCACGTGAGAGATGATTATGAAGGTGAGGTCAATATGACCGATGGATGACTGACCGACTGCCCTTTCGGGAACCCTTTCTCTCAATCTCGAGTACAAAAAGGGAAGCAATGTGTTCCCGTCCCCCCTTCCATAGAGGACTTCTGTGTTTTTCTTTTCTTCGTTGTTGCTGTTTAGGGTCATCACACAGTTGCAGGGGGTGGGTGGGTTTGGCTTGCTGGGTTTTCTATTTTACTTCATGCAAGTCATGCTAAGGAACCCCTCCACCGCCCCCTCCCCCAGGAAAATAAAATTTCCAAAAAATGAAAAGAAGGAAAAGAAATCCTCTACGGTCAGTTACCATTTGGCCGTAGAAAAAGCTACGTCCGTCCTAGTACAATGCCTGGGCCACTCGGACTCGTCCGGCAAACCTGCATGGCGTGAATTTACTCTGTCCGAGGGTGAGGAGGGGCTGCAGGTCCACCCAGATGCTTAATAGCCACCAGTGTCCTGGGCCAAGCCGCCTGGTCAAGTCACTCTCACAGCCTCTGTCGGCATATACTTAGCAATGACAGGGCTTTCTTTGCAAAGATCTGTATGTAAAGAATACAATTAACACTTGAGCGTCTCTTCTTGGCTCTCCCATCCCGCTTGGTACTTAGTTTTTAAGGAGGAGGAGGAAAGACAGAACAGCCGCATGCAGAGGCAGGCAGGTTCTTCAGCTGGCTTGGTTTTCCCATGCAGTGAGCCAGCCCAGCACGCCTCTCCTCTCCCTCCTGGGGACCGGGGAGAGTCCCTAACTCCTCTCCTACTCTGCACATGGCTTATGGCCTGGAATCATCCTGAGAAATCAAGTCCTTGGCGGCTGTCCTGACTCCACGAGAGCAGGGCTGGGTGGATGTGGGTGGGAGCATCCCCCCTTGGCGCCTCCCAAAGACTCTGTCACCCAGGCCTCTGGGATTGGGGGGTGGGTACAGGGAGAGAGGGCTCCCTCTGCCCCACACTCCCTGGGCTCCTGGAAGCACAGTAAAGGACTCTCCTTTCTGCTCTCCTAGGCCACACAGATTGGTCCGGCACTCAGGGTGGAGGAGGCAGGCAGCCCACGAGACCTTACCAGGCAGAGCACAGCCCCTGGGACAGTACCTGCTTCCCCCTCACTCCCCGGCCTCCTGCCCCTGCTTCTGCCTTCTAGAGCCTCCCCAGGGGGATGGGGGGAGGGGGGAAGCCAGCTGCATTGGGCCTATCCATGGAAGGTGCCAAGGATGGGCCCACCCCCTCCCAGGCCAGCAGCCCTCCGCCATGCAGCACCATGCGGGGAGCGCTATGCCGCGCTGGGGTCCAGGGGACCTCCAGGCAGGGCCAGGAAGCAGGGACCAGCCTGGGTCAGGTGGGCACACTAAGCACCAGTGACCAAGAGGCCTTCCCACCTCAGTGTAAGCTGCCTCCCCCCCCCCCCCCCCCCCCGCCCCCCCCCCCCCTCCCCCCCTCGCCCTGCATTTCGATTTCTGCATTTTCTCCCTGCGTATTGTGGAACCACTTCAAATACTGGAGCACTTGTGAATGGCCACAGGCTACAGCAACTGTTGCTCTGAAAAGCCAATTATCGCTGGGGCCCAGCCTTCTCGCCCTGGTCAGCATGCATCCCACGTGAGCATGAGGTGCTCCCAGACAGGCACGAGCTGCCCGGCCAGTCCGCTGTGCTGAGGATGGCTTTCTCCGCCCCTGGGCCCTGGGCCGCTGCCTGGAGCCTGGAGCTCCCGCCCCAACCTCTCTCCAGCCCACGCTCCATCAAGCTCTTCCCCAGGTGTCAGCCTAAGATAAGGGTCGGTAGAAGGAGTCCTTGAGCAGAGGCCTCCGCAGGGCTCAGCCTTCACCAACCACAAGGGGGCGCTGACCACACCCGGGGCCAGGCTAATCGGGTTGGGGATGGAAGGGGCTGCACAGAGTCCCACGTTAACAACCTTCTCTTGGCAAATTCTCTGTCACTAGCAATATTCTGACTGCAAGGACACTGGCTTCAACCCAAGGCCTGAAGCCACCTTTTTCTTCATGGTTCCCTTCCCAATGGTCTGTGCATTCTCTTTAAAGGATGCCTTTTCCAGAACATGGCTCTTGGGTGGCTAAGCCCACAGGGTCCTGGCCAGGCCCATCCCGTTTCCTCCTCAACCACTAGATGGGAAGATCACTCTGCCTTTTGGGTCTGACCTGCCTGTCAGACCAGCCTGGAGCAGTCGAGGCTCCTCCCAGCACCCCTGGGTACCCCTCTGCTTTTAGGGTCATGGCCCGTAGTCAGCCAGCCTGTCCCCAAGCCCTTCCTATCCCTTACGTACTGATCTTTAATATCAACCCACAGCTGCCTGGACCTCACGTTCTCACTGCCAGCCTACATCCCACTTAGGAGAGAGGAAGTCAGATCCCGAGGGGCTGACCCTGGGGGCTCCTTCTGCTCCCTGCCCCCCATCAGTGTGCCTGCCTTCCCCTCAGCGCCCCTCGCCCGCCACCCCGCCCACCCATCTGCAGGAGCGGGAGGTGAGGCGGCCCGGTGGATGCAGTGCCCCAGCCTCCTCTACATACCCTTTCTCATTCCTCCACCAGGTGGGCACGTGTACTCCCCAGTTGATAAGAGGAAGCAGGGTCCGTATCTCTCGCGGGTGCCCGAGCGCGTAAAGGGCAGGCCCTCATCGGGAGTGAGGGCCTGGTCTATGTGGGGGCAGTCTTCGTTCGCCAGCGCGGCCTTCGCCACCTCCCCATTCAGTTTGGAATCTTCAAACATATAAGCAGAAGCTATTGAGACACTGAAAACTGTTTAGTGGGGGGGACAGGCCGGAGGTGGGGCATTGGCAAAGGGCAGCCCATCCCTGAGAACCAAAAAGTGAGGGGGCCACGGAGGGAGGCACGAGGCTGGGGTTCCGGCTCATTCAGGCAGCCTACGGGCTGCCCACAGTGCTGCGAAGGAGGGGCTCCTGAGTTTGCTCAAAGTTTGCAAAAAGATGAGTTGGCGGGCCCAGCAAGCGCGGTGCTGGGGGCTGGGCCCAGGGCCCAAGGCCCAAGGCTGGGCCAATGAGACAGATGGTGTGGATGCGGACATGGAGGGAGGGCCAGACACAGAGCTCAGGGAGAAGACAGACAGACATGCTGAAACACTGCAGTCCAGAGAGGCAGCCTTTCCTGAACCCTCTGCTGCTGACCAGAGCTGAGCGGCCTCCCATCCTTATCCAGCTCAAGCTTCTCTAGCCCCATCCAGACCCCATCCATCACCTCTACCTCAGCCCCATTTGGATCCCATCTGCTCACTCACTTCACGCTGCCCACCACGCACATCCTATCTGACCACATAGCCTGCCCGCCCCCTGTATGTATCTAATCTGGTCACTCTGTATGCCCTGCCCCCTATGCAGACTAGGCATGGCCATACAGCCTCCTCTGTCCCAATCTGACCAGTCAATCCGCTCCACCCTCCACCAAGACTTAGGCTGGTCATTCAGTCCGCCCTGAGGCCCACACAGACCAAGCCAGTGGCTTCCACTGCGCTCCACACCAAGCAGGCCTGGTCAGCTCGCACAGGCACGACAGGGATGTTTGCATGAGGCAGTGACAGCGGCCATGAGTCGGGAGGGGCTCCCATTCCTCTGTCTCCTCTCAGCAGCATCCCCCGAGAAGCAGAGCAAATGGATGTGTAAAGACAACAGCAGCGGATGGACTCAGGTGGGAAGGCAAGTCTTGGCCTCTGTGGTAGCCTGGGAAGGAACCTGGGGGGCACCCTTTGGGGGGGAGGGCAGAGTGTGGCCAGAGTAGGGAGCTCACCCTCTCCCAAGTCCAGGAGCATCGCCATGGACACCTCTGGACCTGGCGGAGGTAGCGCTGTCTGGCCTCTGCCCCGCCCACCACTCCTGGGGACTGAGCCTGCCCCACACGCTCTGCTCTCAAAGCAGAATCTTCCTGGCCAGGGTCCACCCAGTTCCCACAGTGGGCACCCTGGCTTTTTCAAAGACTTCCTCTAGGGTGAGAGCCTCCAGGGAGACAGACCCCACCGTGAGTGGACAGGAGGGGAGGCTCTTGGAAAGACTACAGGGGGAAAAGCTGAAGACAGTCTCCTCCTGATTTGACCCTCTTCCGTGACCCTGTTCACATCATGTAACTACACGCAGAGGTGATCCTCTTCCGTGGGCACACGCTCAGTATGCCTGCGGGCGGGATCACGGCCGTGTGCACATCATGTCACTACAAAGAGGCAGTCAGTCAAAAGTGAAATGGACCAATCAGGTTTATTCGTAAAGCAAATCCAAAAAAAAAAAAATCCCATCATAATTTTGGAACTTAAAAAGTTTGCATACAAGATGGAAAGCAGTTCACGTACAGTGCGTTTCTCCACAGATCCCAGGGGCTTCACTCCCCGCTTTACGCTGAGCCAGAAGGGCCAGTTACCAAGGTAACTCTGACACCACGTGACTGGGGCTGGGCCTCTCTGGGGTTGGGGGGTTGCCTAGCACTTGGGGCGTGTCTGCGGGCACACACCTGTGCATACAGACAAGCCCGGTCCTGCCTCCCACTCTGGCTGGCCCCTGGCTTCCCTCCCAAGGATCTCTGGGCTGAGGGAGGAGGGTGATGGGGAGGGGGGGACATAAGGGAGGAGGATGTGGAGGAGGGTGTGAAAGTCGGGGCCCATAGCACCCTGCACACATTTTCCTCCAGAGGAAACAGCAAGTCCTCCCAGCAGCATCTCCATCTGGGCCATCGTCTGTTGGTGAAGGTGCCCACAGCCTACCGTTCTTGCCCAGAGGCGGGTCAAAGGTGGAGGGTGGAGCCTGAGACTCCTCTGGCTCTGAGTGCCAACGGCTCTGCCCCCCAGCACCAGGCCCCTGGAGCATCCAGCTCCCACAGGCTGGTTTTCCCTGCAGGGAAGGGAGCGGGGACAACTGGCAGGGGTCCCTGTGTGGGTGAGCTGCGCACCCTTCCTTCCCTGAAGGGACCCCAGGACACACCTGGGTCTGCTTCTCTCAACCATGAATTTGAGGAGGGGCTATAATTGGGTGAGAGTGTTTAGGTCTTGTTCTGTGAGGGAGCCAGCCTCCCTGGGCTGTTGGTTTATCTGCAGTTTGGGGTGCTGTCAGAAACGGGGAGCATTCTCCCTCCCCAGCTCCAGAGGGGTGGCTAGAAGAGAAACAAAGGAGTGGCCAACTCTCCAAACCTGGGGAACCCACGCAAAAGGCCAGCTCTTCCAAGATCCCCGCCATGCCCTCACCGCCCCCCCCCCCGCCCCCTTGCATGAGATGGCCACCAGGAGCCTCGGTTCCCACCTGTTCCCCAGAAGGTGGGGAGACCTGCCTCCCTGGCCCAGGACCTCTCAGCCCCACTAGCCCCGCGGCTTGCGATGATGAAATGGCAGCATGGGCAGCGGCTCGCAGAGATGGTTTCCAGGCTTTGAAATGGGCTGAGATAGATGAGCGTCCGCGAGAGGGTCATTTTTTTTTAAACTTTGGAGCAAGGAGAACCCGATGTCAGGGCCCTCAACCAGCAGGGCTGGCTTTTTCGCCCTCGTCTCCAGGCACCACCGACGTACTTACTGTTCAGACCAGCAGCGGGCGCCGGGGGGCGCACACAGGGCTGGGGCGGGGTGGGGGGTTGCTGGGCATTTCCTTGGGTTTAGCTCCAAGGGGTCTGCCCAGGAGGGGGATCAGGGAAAAAGTCCCAGGCTATCGGGGGACAGTCTGTGAGAGACAGGAGCAGAGTACAGTCACGAGAACCGGCACAAGTCATGCAACGAAACGAGGAGAGAAAAGAGAGAAACATGATTAGTGGAGAGAGAGAAAAGAGAGAATATGAAAAACACAGAAAGAACACCAGGCCTGGCCCTCAGAGTTTTGTCATTTTTCTGATCCTTCCCTCTTAGCCCGCTTGGGAGCCACATGGACCCCACATGGGCCCCAGCTGCCCACCCTGATCCTGTATCTGAGCAGAAACTTGATCAGCTCATGCAGAGGGGCCCCGCCCACCCTGCCTGGTCACCTCTGCCCCAGGGGTCACTCTCCTTGCCCCGGGCTAGCACCACCAGCCCTCTCTGTAGACAAGCACGGGAAGGGAGGGCCGGGAGAGGGGCACTGTGGACTTGCTGCTCAGGGGACAACTTCCCACTGCCACCCCACAGGTGACCCAGAGACTGCAGTGGGCTCCCAGGGGGCCTGGGCAGGGTCTTCGCTGGGGCCTCACTGCAGCTCTGTGTGCCTATGGGCAGGAAAGGGGGTCTGGCCACCACCCCTCCTCCATGCAGGCCCCCCTGCTCACCTACGGTGTGACCCCGTAGTCTGAACACCACATCATAGAGGACTGACCCACACCACAGGAGCAGAGAGGGACAAGACATACGTGAATGGACGTGAGCAAGTGAGCTGGGCCCCCTGGCTGCAGAGGGGAGCGGGGAAGGCCCTTTCTGGGAGAGGAGCAACTTCTCCTGGGCTATGAGTCCCAGGCAGCCTCTGATGATGTGGGGTGACCTCCTGGCATCCCTCTGTAAGGTCCTACAGCCCCCCAGGCCAAGTCCCCCCAACACTGAGGCCATGCCAGCCATGGTACAGAGGAAAACACCAGATCATCCTTCACAGACAAGGGACCGGAGGCTGGGGGAGAAAGCAGACGTAGAGGGGAGGGAAAGGGGCTGCTGGCAGGACTGGGAGGCCTTGCTGGAGTCCCAGGGATCCTGCCCTGGTAGGGGAGGTGCCCTCAGAGACCAGCATGCGGAACTCAGCCCCATCCCAGCTTCTACAAGAGGAAATGGCGAACCCCCGGTTTCCCTGAGGCCGCTCCACTGCCCCTGGGGGTGGAGTGAGGCTGGAAAGGCCTGGGGTGCTGCATCTCACTCCGCTCAATCCTTGCAGGGCTGGTTCTCCACCCATATTTGCCTTCCTTTCCTCTGGCCTCCCCACTCACTCATGAATGCACCCCCAGCTCACGCCCATCCAGGTGCATAGCTGAAAGCAGAAAAGGAGGTGAATGGGAAGGGACTCAGGGAGGCAGAGATGGGGACACACCCCTAAGGACCACACCCCTCTCAGTGACAGTTAATCTGGGTCTCACATCCCAGCTGTTGGAGGAAGGGGTGTTCTGGTGAAGCTCAGAGGGGGTCTCAGAATCTAGGCGGGTGGGTCTGGACATTAAAACAGCACCGGCCGGGGAGGGGAGTTCTTGGGAAGTGGGTAGAGATCCAATGTGGGGAGGGGGGAAGGCAGGAGGAGGATCCCGGCAGCTGGGCTCCAGAGGACAGGCTTGGGAGGGCCCAGAACACCTTCTCAGCCACAGAGACTGCTCCTGCCAAGGCTCTGGGTTCCTGAGGCCCGGGGCCAGGGCCGGAGGCTGCAAGGGCTGGACTGCCATGGCCGTGGGCCTGTAGGATCCCACAGGAGGGCATGGGCTTCCCAGGTCTGGTGCAGCATGGGAAGAGGGCTTGTGTCCCAGGACTGGCTGGTGTACATGTCAGAGCACAGTCTGCTCTCTGTGTGTGCGCATGCATGTGTGTGTATGTGTGCATGCATGTGTGTGTGTGCGTGCACTTAGCACACCAAGAATACTGGCATTGTCAGGGATGAGGACCATCGGTGCCTGACTGGAGTGAACTGGGGATCCTTGACAGGGTGGCCTGGGTGCCCATGCTTGGGGCACCGATATGGAAAGATCCAGTGTGGGGGAGATTGACAGAGGGCCAAGTAGCACCATGGTGATGCCACTCAGGCTCAGCTCTTCCTGAGGGGCCTGAAGTAGAGCTGGGGGCGAGGCCAACCTGGACCCCCTCCTAGAGCCCCAGGAACTTTCCTTGTCATGGTGGTGGCTCCTGAGGTCTAATAGCTAGTTAACCCAGAGCAGGGAGGTGGGGCAGGAGCCATGCCTTGGCAGGGAAGCCCGACTCCCCTCTGGCTCCTATTCCAGTTCCTGCTACCCTCTGGCCCAGCCCAGGACACTAACCAAGTTCCTTTCAGGTGCCTATGGGAATCCCAGGAAGGGGAAAGGTATGGGGACAGGAAAAGGGGCTGGAGAGCCCCCATGGGCAGAGAAGTGGGCCTTGGAGGTACTGCTCTGGGCAGCATAGCTGTGGAATAAAGCCGGATCGTGAGCAGGAAGGGGCAGTTGGGTAGAGAGAGCATCAGCAGGGAGAAAGAATCAATCATACGCTGGGAGAGACCACCCAACCTGGGGGAAACTTGCTCATCTAGGGCTGAGCTAGCCTGCAGCCCCTGCCAGACTTTGGACCTGGGATGTCCCTCACAAACTAAATGCTACCTATCACTCATTCAGCCCCCTCACCCCACGGAGCTTCACTCAGTGCTGTATTCTTCTCTTGGTCATCCATTCCCTTGAAATCCCTGTGTCCACAGAATAAGTCGATGGTATTCCATGGGTAGAGGTAGACTATGGGCTTTATATCTTCGGACCAGAGCCCCGTGATCAACTTTATGTGCTATGTGCAGGTTCTCATAAAACTGAGATAGTCCCATAACGAACCACTAGCCATGGAATATTAGAATATATCCCACGGTGACTAGTATTGTTTCATGCCCCCCTCCCCCTCCCCCCTCCCTGACCCCCACTGAATTCATGGGAAAGTGGTTGGACACTGGCTGGGGTGTCATGTATTGCTGCTGCAGTCCCTTCCATCGGAAGTGGGGAGAACCCTCGGTGGGAGGTGGTGGCTGGTCTGTAGCGCTTTCGCCTAAACTGCCCGGGGTGGTGGCCCCGCTAATCCTTTGCTCACCAGCCGCTTCCATCAGAAGACCATCGGAAACTCCCACTCAACCATCAACCCAAACAGACAACGTGAAAGCTAGAGTCACTCCAACAGTTTCTAAAGATAAACACTAAACTCTAGAGTGATGGTAGAAGATGAGTTGGTTCAGCATGCTATGGGGAAGTAAGCTTGTTACGGAGGGCTGGAGGCGTCTCCTAGGACACACCTGGAGCCAGGCAGCCCGAATCAGAGCACGAATTCTACTCGGCTATGGAGACAGGCTCTGTCGGGGGTGAGCATCCTTGCTACTGCCTTTGCAGGTACCCTCCTGCCAGACCCCATGCACCGCTTGTGCCGTCTGCACAGCCTGAAGGGAGCCGTGTAAAGACCCGATCAGAAGCTGTCTGCCATTTCCAAATCACGCCCACCCCCGCCTGGCCCGGACACCAGGTCGGTGGCCTGAGTCAGAGACTCACGCTGGACTCCTGCCCACTGAGCAGCAGCTCCCGGGCTCCTGCTAAGAGAGTCCTCGGCAACCTCGAGGGCCACGTCGTCTCTTCAGAACCTCATGAGACCAGCGCGTCAACCTCCTTACCCGGGGCCACCAGTGAGGTTCCTCTAGCTGGCCCTCGCCTCGTGAACTTGGCTGCCCAGCATCTCCCTGGGCCCCCAGGCTCCACACCTCAAGATTGAGTGTGGGGGTCCGGGGTTGCCCATGGAACTAAGGAAGCAGTCTGACTGAATCTGGAATCATCGCTACAGGGGGCAGAGGTGAAAGGTCAGATCGACATGCCTCTAAGAGGTTTCCTACCTGCTCTGTTAATTTCTAAAATTTCTTCCTGGGCCAGCGGGCATGTGTCACTCTGAGTACTGTGGTGTGGAGAGTTTACGACAGATTTACAATAATTGGGAGATCCCAGCTGCGGCGGCCGTGGAATATGCTTCTTTTTTTTCTTTGGTAGTTTCTGCTTAGCCATGGCTAAGGAGTAGTACATCCCGAAATTGTTCACGATGACGGGCACGGGCATGGCGATGGTCAGCACGCCCGCCAGTGCACACAGTGCTCCCACCAACATCCCGGACCATGTCTGCGGGTACATGTCTCCGTAGCCCAGTGTTGTCATGGTGACCACGGCCCACCAGAAGCCAATGGGGATGTTCTTAAAGTGGGTGTGCTCACTGGCACTGGGGTCATTGGGCTGGGCCCCTATCCTCTCAGCGTAGTAGATCATGGTGGCGAAGATCAGGACACCCAGGGCCAGGAAGATGATCAGCAGTAAGAACTCGTTGGTGCTGGCGCGGAGCGTGTGGCCCAGGACCCGCAGGCCCACAAAATGCCGGGTCAGCTTGAAGATGCGCAGGATCCGCACAAAGCGGACGACGCGCAGGAAGCCCAGGACGTCCTTGGCGGCCTTAGAGGACAGGCCGCTGAGGCCCACCTCCAGGTAGAAAGGGAGGATGGCCACAAAGTCAATGATGTTGAGCGAGTTCTTGATGAACTCTACCTTGTTGGGGCAGAAGACGACACGCATGAGGAACTCGAAGGTGAACCAGACCACACAGACGCCCTCGATGTAGGTGAGGAAGGCCTCCGTCTCCGCTTCCCGGTAGTAGCGCACTTGCGTGCCATTCCGAACGTTCTCGATCTCCGTCTTGTTCACAATGGGGTTGAAGCGCTCGTGGGTCTCCAGGCAGAAGGTGGTGATGGAGACCAGGATGAAGAAGAGGGAGGCCAAGGCCACATACTGTGGGGGAGAAACACAGTGTCAGAGGGCAGGCCCTCCCACCCAGAGCAGAGAAACTGGGGGTGCCTCTGTGTTGGGTCCAGTCAGATGCCAGGTCAGGGAAGACGCCAGCACAGTGACCCTGCCAACACAGGGCCAAGCTAACAGGCCACTTTTCCTTCCTCCGGGCACGGGGTGAGGACGCTCAGGGAGTTAACGGGTTGTGGCAGAGATTCCTTTGTTTTCACAAACATGTTTCCTTTCCTCTTGGATGTGCAGCTAGCCTACATTTCCCAGCCTCCCTCAGGTTAGATGGGGTCAAGTGACTGAGTTCAGGCCAGTGGACAGTAAATGAAAGGGGTATGCATTAATGCCAGGTCTGCCAGGTCTGGCTCATAAACCTTTCCTACTCAATCTTCTATGCTCTTTCTTCCCCCTTCTCCCCTCCCCCCCGCCCCCCATTTCCAGCAGTGCCACCAGGAGGAAGGAGCCTGGGTTCCTGAGAAGAAAGACCACTAAATACTCTCATTGAACTATTACTTAAATGGGAAATATACTATTTTATTAAGCCACTGTGGTTTGGGGTGGGGAGATTGGTTAAAGCCTTTAGCCACCCTGACTAATAAAAATGACCAACTTGCTGGGCTCAAGTTGGCAAAGAAATGAGAGGGGGCAGCTACGGTGGTATCTGGCCACATCTTCCATCTTTCATCTGTACTTCACTCGCGGAATCTCTTTCAGGTTCTATCCTATCTAGATCTAAAGAAGATGTTCATCTGCCTCAGGGCCTTAGATGACTTTTTTTTAACTGCTCCCTCTATCCTCCTAGGGACTCACACACCCAACCTGGAAGTGAGTTCCTCATCCTTGGGGGTATTCAAACAGAGCCTAAATGGTCATTGTCAGAGATACGGTGCCAGTTCTGGCATCAGGAGGTGAACTGGACAAGGTATCCTCAAAGGCACATAAACCATAGGGTCTGCTTCTTCCCTGCTGCCTGCCAGACCCAGGGTAGGGGTGTGGGTGGGAGAGAGGAAGAAGCTGTTGGGATGCTTGGGCTTTTCAAACATATGTGAGTACCTGCTTCTCTCAGACCCCATCAGTGAGAAGGAAATGGCCAGAATATCCCAGTCTGTCCAGAACCACCTGCTCTGGCCCTGAGCCCCTGGAGAAAGGTTCAGGAGACCCTTTGGTTTGGTCTGGTGGCCCCATATGATGACCCTTGAGCTTCTCAAGCTCACAGCAGACATGGGAATCCAAGGAAAGAGAATCAAGTAGCTGCCTGAGCTTCAAACCCTCCTGCTCAAGACTGAATTCCAGGCAAGGTCTCTTCTTACAGACTCCAGGTGGGTCCCCCAGAACTCTAACAGATCATGGCCTCCTTAGGCATTGCCCTGGGCAGGTGGAACCCTGGCCAGTCAGCGCTCCTCCAGGGCCCAGCAGGTCAGTCTTGCCCGCATGTTCCTGCTGTTCCCCTTCCCTCTGGACCCTTTTTCTCTCCGCTTGGCCAAGACAGACCATGGCTGGAGGCAGCCCTGGGGTACAGGCTGGAATAGGTGGCACGTTTGGTCCACAGAGGTGCCCTCATAGATAACTTCAAGGAGTGCCATGGTCTCACCCTGTATCTTTAGCAGGAGACAGCCATGCTGCTTCTAGTGATTAGTTTGCAATGACGCCCACCTCCACCTGTTGCTTTTGAGGTGGTTTTTTTTTTGGAAGTCCCAGAACAGCTCTGTCTGGTTTGACCATAGCCCTGAGACCTGGCACCCAACTAAAAGGGATCTAGAAGCCCAGAACTATGTGGACCTTCCAAGCCACATTCTGGGTGGGGAAGGGACAAAGGCAGCATTTCAGAATGTCAGTATTGAGAAGCCATCAGAGATTATCTGACCCAAGACACTACCTGCTACAGATGGGGAATCCTGTGGCCTAGAAACAGGAAGAGATCTGCCCCAGGCAATCATTATGGGATGCCGATAGGTCTGTAGGCTTAGAGCTCTGAGCAATTTGCAAAAACTTTATCTAGACTACTAGAGACTGCTCCCTATGCACCCTTCATCCATTCACCTCTGCTTCCTTCCTTTTATCTACCCATTATCCATCTTTCCTTCCTTCCTTTTCCTCTCCCTTCCATCCACACATCACTCACCCTTTTCCCTCATTCCCTCTCCCTCCCTCCTTCCATTCCTTCCTCCCTTTTCTCCATTTCTCTCTTCCATCCAACATGCATGCATCCATTCTTTCTTCCTTCCCTTCCTCATCAAACACCAGGTTAGGCCCAGCACAGAGGGGAAGCCTCAGGGAGGAACCCTCAGGGAGGATTCCAGGCCAGGCCTCAGGGAGCTCCTTGCCCAGCGGAGGGTAAAGGACACTCACAGAAACAATGCGGTGGCCTAGAAAGGTGAGCCCCTCAGCCCTATGAAGTGGTGAGGCTTGGACAAGGCGGGACAGGGTAGGGACTTAAACCAGGTCTTCCACCTCCAGAAACAGCTCTGCGAGGGTCCGGACAGTGCCGCCCTGGGTCATCACAGAGGAGGACCAGGAAAGCAAAGTGGAAGCACCTGGCAGAGGTAACTTCCAACCCAGGTTTACCCAGCACTTTCCACACCAGAGTGCCAACGCTCTTGGAGCTAAAACATCCCTGTCTACTGGGTATTTGGTCCCAGATTCCCTCTGGAGGGCCCCGTCATGGAGCTTGGCATTCACAGCCCACACTCCCCACGGGCAGGTCATACCCCAGCCATACCCACTTCCCTGGGCTTTGTGAGAGAGATATGCCAAGAGGTAGGGCCCATTGTACCCGTGGGCTCCCGATCCTGGGCGATGGCAGAAGGCAAGAGGCACCTCTCCTTGCTGCCCCACCAACCATGGCATCCCCCTCCAATCTGACCCACATCCATCCTCCTCTGTCCCCTCTGCTTATATGTGACTCTCTCTCAACAGGGCTACTGCCACCAAAGCTAACAGGTTTTAGGCGTCAGTCTTGGCCACCAGTCGAGCCTCCAAGCCAGAGGGAGCGACTGGCTGGGATCCCAGCTCTGCATGCCGCCTGCCCATGCTGCCCACGGAGAAAAGCCTGACTCCTCAGCCGGGCATGAGCTGCTGTGCCCTGGCCTCCCCGACCTCCTTACATGCACCCAATGTTCTTGCCAGATGCAACTCTGCCATTTCTGACCCCACACCTCCGTGTCTCCCCATCTCCGCATCATCACACCTGTTGCTCCTTCCACCAGAGTGTTCCTGCCCATCTTTCTCTGAAAAAACCCCTCATCCTTCAGGACCCCAGGAAGTAGCTCTTCTCCTGGGACGCCTTCACCAGGTGGGGCTCTTCACTGCAGCTGAGACCCTTATAAGGCAGCAAATAAAAGGACTCTCCAAGGAGCCTCTACATTCACCTCTGGAAACAGCCAGCCTGTCTCCAATTCCACTCATGAGTGCCCAGGGAGGCTCATGGGAACAGCCCAGACAGGGCACTGATGTCCCAGGAGCCTCCTCACTCCCAGGTGCCCCACAGGCCCCTAGAGCTGTCAACCCATTTGCCCCTCTCACAGGACAGGTCTTGATGGGGAAAACGAGGCCCAGAAAGAGGTCAAGTCTTATAAAAACTCGGGGAGGAAAAAATCCTTGGTTCTCAGCCATCAGCGGAGATCCTGTCTAGATTCCTTCCTCCCTGGGCCCCAGAGCCAAAGGAGTGGGGATGGGGTGGACAGCAGCAGCCAGGCCTTGAGCCAGACACTAGGCCTTCTTCCCAGGGAAGCTGGCAGAGGTGGAATCCGGGCCTCCCGCCCTGCCTAGGCTCCCTGGTGCCTTCCTTCTGGCCTGAGCTGCCGGCAGCCTGGTCCTTTGTCACAGGCAGAGCCCCAGCCACACCCGGGTACAAGTGTGCTCTTAGGAGGGCTGTGGAGGAAGGTGCCTTGGTTGCTCAGATCACATTCTCCGAAGCCTAGAGACTAGCAGGGCAGCCACAGTGCACAGCCAGCGCAAGAGCTCACATCCCACTGAGTCCCCGGCTCCCTCTGTCCAGCCTCAGGGAAGCTGAGCATGGGAAGGAGAGAGGAGGACGCTGCCCAAGCTAAGGGCCTACCTAGTCTGCGCCTTAATCCTCACACACCCAGTCAGACAGGTGGCTGTGCTACGTTGTGCCAAAAAGCGAACCCAGGCGCAGAGAGGTTCAAGGACCAAGTGTTGAAAGCTAGGGATGAAGCAGAGGCTTGGACCCGAATCAATCTAGCTCCAGAAACCTAACTAAGCTCTTTCCACCACTAGAGTGACCACAGCTCCTGGGGCTAAAAACACAGCCCTGTGCACTGGGGAGCTGACCCTGACCATGTCTGAATGGTTCATCTTGGAGGTTGGCACCCATAGCCCAGACTATTTGAGGGCAGGCTATGCCCATTGCCAGTGACGAGAGAGCCGGGATGCCTGGACCCACAGGCTGGAGCCCAGCCACGCCTGAATGGCTCTTGGGCCCCTTTGCCCAGGACTTGGTAGTGCCTGGGGCTAGAGCAGCCCCGGGGGCTGGCGTGCAGCCACACCTTGCTCAGGAATCAATGCTGACAGCAGCCTTGGACGGTCTAGCCTGCATCCCCACCTGGCCCACTTCCTTGAAGACTCAGAAGGCAGGTGGAAGATGACTTCAACTTGTTCAAGAAGCTCAGCCAGAGGGAGGCGGGAAGAGTTTAAGGGGAGGGGAGGATCTGGGATCAGTGGACCCCTAGCAGGGAGGGAACCTCTGTCTAGCAGACCCAGGGCAGCAAGCCTGGGCTGTCGCTCCCTGTAGGGGCTGCAGGCAAGGGCAGGGCTACATCCCATGTGAGCTGTCTGCCTCCCAATCCCAGTCACCCAGAGGACAGGGAACAGTCACTCACAGACCACAGGCACACAATTGCCCAGAGTACACACCTCACCCATTACCTAAGCGCATACACTGTGCATGTGGCCACACAAGCTACAGCACAGTGTCCCGCTCACACACACACAGAGAACAAGGGCCCATGGAGCATACTGAAACATATCGCTGC